GAAGAAGAAGAAGAAGAAGAAGAAGAAGAAGAAGAAGAAGAAGAAGAAGAAGAAGAAGAAGAAGAAGAAGAAGAAGAAGAAGAAGAAGAAGAAGAAGAAGAAGAGCTTGTCACAGAAGAGCAAAGACAGATCCAGGAAGAGCAGACAAAGATCAGGAAGCAGAGAAAAGTAGCCCAAAATAAAAGACAACAAGCCAAAGAAGAGAAAAGACTAGCAGAAGAAGAAGAGAAACTTGCACAAGAAGAGAGAAAGTTGGCTCAGGAAGAGAAAAAACTGGCCCAAGAATATGTGAAACTCTCCCTGAAAGATGAGAAAATGGACCAGGAAAAGAGTATGTTTGCCAAGAAAGAGGAAAAACTGGCCCAGAGAGAGGAGGTGCTAAGCCACAAAGCAGAGCAGTTGGCCCACAAAAGGAAGAAACTGGCCAAGAAATTGGAGAAAACTGCCCAAGAAGAAGAAAAACTAGCAAAGAAAGAAGAGAAAACTATTGAGGTACAAATGCTATTGGCCAAGAAAGGGGAAACACTGAAGCAAAAGGAGCAAAGGCTAGAATGGGAAGAAAATGACTTGGCCCAGGAACTTGAGGAACTGGAAAGGAACATGGAAGATCTGGCTTTAAAAGAAGTTGAGCTGGACCAGGAAGAAGAGAGACTGGCTGAGGAAAAGGAGGAACTGGCTCAGGAAGAGAAGATACTGGTTTGGCGAGAGGAGACTCTGGCTAAGAAAGAGAAAGCACTGGCCCAGGAAGAAGAGCTGCTGGTGCAGGAAGAAGAGAAACTGGCCCAGGACAAGGAAAAAAACCCCAGGGAAGCAAGAAGATTGGCTCAGAAAAGGCAGAAACTGATAGAGAAAAAAGAGAAACTGGCCCAGGAAAGGGAAAAACTGGTCCAGAACAAGAAAGAATTCACCCAGAAAAAGGAGAGGCTGGCCCAGAAGGAAGAGAATCTGGCTCAGAAAAGGAAGAATTTGGCTCAGGAAGAGGAAAAACTGGCTCAAAGAAAAAAGTATCTCCATCATGTCAAAGAAGAACTCCTCCAGGAGAGAGCGCGATTAGCTCAGGTAAAGCAGAAAATGGGTACGTACAAGGAGACCCTGGATCAGGTAGAGGAGAAGCTGAAACAGGAAAAGGAGATAGTGCTCAAGAAGAAGGAGAAGCTGGATGCTATAGAGAAGAAACTGGTTCAAGCAGGTGGAATTCTGGCTAAAAATCAGGAGAAAGTGGCCCAGGAAAAAATGGAATTATCTTTGGAGAAGAAGGCAGTGTTCCAAGGAAGGAACTTGCTCAGAGATGAGCTTGATATTGCTAAGAAAGAAACATCATTGAACATGGAAATGAAGATGTTGGCCCAAAAGAAGATTAGACTGGCTGAGGTAATGGAAATTCTCTCCAAGGAAGGGACTCAAGAAACTTCAAGAAAGACAAAACTGACTAAGCAAGAAATAGATGTGATGAAGAAGAAATTGTCACTAGAGGAGAAGATAATAAAATATAAAGATAGGATTCTGGCCACAGAGGAAAAGGATGTTGCCAAAGGAAAACTGGAATTTACTACTGAACAGAGAGTATATGCAAAAGAAGAAAGGAAGTTAGCTAAAGTTATAAGTAAGTTGGTTAAAGAAAAGAAGGACATTTTTAAGGAGCCAACAAAAAAGAGCAGTGTCATGAAAGTACTTCAAAAACTAGTCAGCGATGAAAGGAAAATAACCCAGGAAGAAATAAAGATGACAAAGATAAAGCGGTCACTTATTGTCAAGGAGAGCAGACTGAGCAAGGAACAGAGCAGACTTGATATCAATGAGTTGAATTTTTCTGAGCAGTGTGGCGGTCCAGCCGTCACAACACTAACATGCCTGAGTCGGGGAGTGAGGATTGAGAAAGGAAAGAACACTCAAGCCTGAGCGGAGACAAAGAGAAGTCTGATTTATTTCACAGAAAGAGCTCCTTTTATAGGTTCACAGCAACAGGAAGCTTTTAAGGGCACACAACACCAAATCATTGTTTTTCAAAGACCAAATTTCCTGACTCTTACTGATAACATCAGATCTATGGCTGTCTCTTTGAGTTTCTTCCATTGCAGCAAAAAGTTTAACAAGCAGAGTCCTAGAATGTTACAGATTGTATCAATGCCTTGAGTGTAGAGGTGAAGAAGTTTCCTTTTAAATGTCAAACTCCTACAGGGCCACGGCCGGGCTCCCACAGAGCAGGAATCAGAATTGGCCACAGATGAAGAGAAACTGGCCAGGGAGCAGAGAAAATTGGCCAAGAAAATGAGAAATATTACAAATCAAGAGGAAAAAATGACCGGGGAAGAAAGTAGACTGGCCAAGGAACAGAGAGAAGTCATACAGGCTGTGGAAGAGGAAGAAAAAATAGAGGAGGAAGAGAAAATCCCATTCTTTAAACAGAAGTGGAGGAAAAAAGAACAGCCAAAAGAAATCGATACCCTAAAGGGAAAGTTCTACATAAATGTGTATGAGAGGGAAAGTGAAGAAAACACTTCTAAGGAAATAGAAAGCCTGTTAGAAAAAGTAGAGCAAGACAGTTTGTCTGATGAGGAGGTGGAAGAAGAGGAAGACGAAGAAGAGGAGGAAGAGGAAGAGGAAGAGGAGGAAGATGAGGAAGAGCAGGAGGAAGAGGAGGCAGCACAGGAGGAAGAAAAGAAAAAGATGGAGGTGAAGGAGGGTGAGATGAAGGTGGAGAAAGAGGAAGAGAAAGAGGAGGAAGAGGAGGAAGAGCAGGAGGAAGAGGAGGCAGCACAGGAGGAAGAAAAGAAAAAGATGGAGGTGAAGGAGGGTGAGATGAAGGTGGAGAAAGAGGAAGAGAAAAAGATGGAGGTGCAGGAGGAGGAGGAAGAGGAAAAGAAGGAAGAGAAGGAAAAGAAGAGGATGGAGAAGGAAGAGAAGAAGGAAAAGGAAGAGAAGAGGAAGAAGAAAAAGAAAGTGGAAGAGGAGGATGAAGGTCCCAAGAAAGAGGAAAAAAGCATGGGTGAGGAAGAGTTGGAAAATTTGAGTGAGACAGAAGAAGAGAGAAGCTCAATAGAAGAGGACAAAGAAAAAGACATCTTTAAAGAAGAAAAACTATTTAAGTTATAGGAAGAAAGAGGAAAGGACCTGCAAGGAAGGGAAATGGTCCCTTCTATTAGAGAAAGATCCTTTGGGGTCAAAGGCAGTGGTATAAAATGGCTTTCCATTCTAAAAAGCCCTTCCAGACAAATGATCTCAGTACCTAAGGATATGGGATGGAAGATACAAACGCTGCTGCCAGCTAAACAAATATCCTTGGAAGGAAAACCCATGGCACTTCAGACATACAGGGCATCCTCAAAGTTAAAACTGAAGGATAAAGAAAGAGAACTGTTGGAGAAATACAAACCCATGCCTCTATATGTTCTGGATACAATTTTAGTGTCCCAAGAGCAGGACATGAAGATATCATTCACATCCGACATATTTAGGAAAACAACAGAGGCTCACAAATTCCTACATAGACTCCCAGATGCCAGATGGAAGAGGTTTTAGCAGCATCATCCAGCTCTGAAAGAACGAAGGAGAGTACAACGACCCCTTCCCCAGATCCTTGCTGACAAACAATATCCAGAGGTAGAGGTAAGCCTCTCAGATGTAGAGTGGATCCGCCAGTTCCTAGAAGAGATGGAAGCTGGAGAACAGCTTTCCAGAGATAGCTTTCACAGACTGTGTCAACTCCTCAAAGACCTGACCTCAGAGGGAAACTTAGAGTGGCTACGTCCGGCCATGCTTGAAGCCATTGTGCACCATCACATGCAGGCTCTGGAATCCCAAAGCACAAGGGCCTCAAAGACCAGTGGGGAGTCCATGGGTCTGAAACACCTGAAAGTGATTCCTCCTATAAAAGGAAAGGAAAAGGAAAGTTGGCTAAAACCTTTGATTGTTCCTACACCAAAGTCCTCATTACCTTCCAAGAGGATTATAGACCCAAATGCTACAAATTGGCATCTTTTAGGCGAGCCTTTCAGGAGTACACAGATACAGCAGTTATCCAATGCCCTCAGAGAAATGCAGACACATTTTTATCCTGTCACAAGAGACCTTTTCACAGGTGCCCATGCCTCTGTGGACAAACAAACCCTGGCACTTATGTTTCAGAAGGAACTTAGGGCTTTTAAGGGTAAGGACAAGCTGCCCAAATTGGAGAAGAAGACACAGCCTATCTCACAAAAGAAGGAAAAGGCACCTCCATGGGAGACATTTGTGGCACTGTACCATGTTTTGCGGATGCTCCAGCAGCGATACGCCAAAGACACTGCTGCTTGGATGGAACAGTTCCATCAGCTCATGGACTTGTACCAGCTCAAGTCCCCCAGAATCCAGAGGCTGCTACAAGATCTGCTACTGAGAGAGGAGCCTCAACCCAAACAGATCATCTACAAAGAGGCCCTGAATGCCACTGAGCTAGTACCCGGGGAACGGGTGTTCTACTGCTTGGTTTGTGGTGGCTCTCATACCCCAAGAAGCACTCTTGGGTTCCAGGATGTGCTACCTCTCCCTGGACAGAATAACGTGCACACCTCCCTTCCTGTAGGTATTGCCAAGTATGGAATCTTGGAACTTGCCTGGAAGAGCCTGCCCCAAGCTGATACTCACCTCACCAAACAATTTCCTGACATCATTGCTACCACTCCCAAATTTGGGACTGACTAGAGGTCAGGGTTTTTCATTCTCAACTGGAGAAAGGGCTGCTCATCAGAATATAGACATTTAGGGACCAGATCAAAGCCCTGTCCTTACCCAGCTCTAGAAACCCGTTTCTGTATGTGGAATAAAGAGGAGGTTCTTTTTTGCAACAAGCACTTCGATGTGTTCCTTTTCCCCAAAGTTACTTTTTTTAGGAAGATCACCAGAGACACATACTTTTGTGAGTGGGAAAATGTCCAGCAGCCAGTGGTACTCACCTGTGGAGTTCCTGAAGAATCTGTCCTTGTTCTCTTCCTTCCTTATCTCCCACTATCACTCCCCCAACCCCGCAAAAAAAAAAAACAAAAACAAAAACAAAAAAACTACAGAATGGAAAGCAACTGTCACAAAACTAATGTATATTTGCATTAATATAAGAAGTGGAAAGAGAATGGATTTAAGAACCAGAAGACCTAACATTCTTCCTCTGTGGAATCAAATTCCCTGATCACTGCCAAGCATGACTTGAGTCTCAAATAGCAATTGTGTTGGATATTGAGATCCTTAGAGTAAAGAAAAAAGCTTCACCAAGTTTGAGCCAGCACCATCTGTTGAGTTCATCACTGAATCCCACTAAAGAGTGAACCCATTTGAGGTTAAAGCAGAAAGAAAATAAGAGAAGCTTATGTCTTTCATTGCTTTCACTGTCACCGGGATGTGGGGTTTGACAGAATGATGAAATAAGAATTAGGAAGCCTAGCTGTAGGCTCAAATAGACCCCCAGCTGTCTAGAAATTTATTTAGGATCCTTCCTTCCAACAAGAGATAAGATTTAAAGGAAAAAGGGTAGTGGACTGGGGGTTTAGCTCAATGATGCTGCACCTGTCTCACAAGCCTAAGGTCCTGAGTTCAATCACTGGTACCTCCCCACCACCACCAGCAAAAAAAAAAAAGGAAAAGGGTAGTAAAGTAGAGGAAGCTGTCACTGCCAGTAATCCTGTTCTCTCCTTGCTCTCTCCCTACAATGGATTCTTCAGAACTGCCTCTTTCTAGGGCAGCTGAGCCTTCCAACTGCCTCTGGTAAGGAACCCATCTTTGCAGCTCCCCATTCTCTGCCACATCCTCTACTTTGTTGTTCTAACCCTTGCATCTTTGGATGTGTTTTCTTTTGGAGAAAGCAGGGAATAGAGGACAGCAGAACATTCTGAGAAGTTAGATTCATCTCAAGAGCAATGAGAGCTGTGACCCTGCAGTGGGGCTCTTCCATGTCAGAGTACACGTCAGGCCACATGGATGATGTGAGAGCTATGGGTGTGGAGCAGGAACCCTCAAAAAGGATGACTCACCTGACAGCCAGGAAATGAACATAAAGCTATCCGAGCTTTTTCAGTAGCCTTAACTTGAATCACTTCTCCTTTTGGCCTCTGTTTACTTACCTACCAAAAGGGGATAATGTTCACTAAAAATATCAGGTATGAGAGGGGATATCACTACAGATCGTACAGACACTTAAAAAGATAAGACTACTATAAAAAAAACTTATGCCCATAAATTTGACAACATAGATGAGATGAATAAGCTTGAAAGACCCTGAAGAAAATAACAATACCTAGCTGATTCATTTGTTGGATCGATCATCCATATTCCAATTTTGTTAGTTGACCTAATAATACCCTCATAGCTTTCTTTTCCTTCCATTACAGGAGTCAGTCCAAAGTCAGGGTATCAGTGGCTCCTCTGGTAAAAACAGAGCCAAGTGAATTGTCTGTTGTGATCCGAGTCAGAAAAAAATATGGATGACCCTGCATTGAGCCTCAGAAACTAGGTACTTTGCTGTGACAATCCAGGTTTATACCCTGCATTTGATCACTATGCTTCTTAGTTAAGACATTTTTATTCTTGAAAATATTTATTCTTCGTTATTTCAACTCTTCTATCCCTACCCCTATTTTTTACACCATATGTTTGTTAAGCTTATAGAATTAGTTGTCCTATAGCTCTCTCCATATTTTGGATTTTTCGATAGAGCATGGTTTCATAAACTAAGGTCTTAGAGATATTTTCAAGGTTTTTTGTTTTTTGTTTTTTTTTTGTACTGGGAATTGAATCCAGGGCTATAGCCCCAGCCCCTTTTCTATTTTTTATTTTAAAACAGGCTCTAAGTCACTAAATTGCCTAGGCTGGGCTCAAACTTGAAATCTCCCTACCTAAACTTACCAGATTGCTGAATCACAGCCATGTGCCACCATGCCCAGCTGTACACATGTTTTATGCTTATGAGTATATTCCTAGGAGGGAGGCTGAGGTGGGAAGATTGCAAATTCAAGCCCAAACCGGGCAATTTAACGATTTAGAGAAATCCTGTCTCGAAATGAAAAAGATCTGGGGAAGAATCCGACTGTGAAGGTCTTGGGTTCAATATTCAGCACTGGGGTTGGGGGTGGGGGTAGGAGAGGGGCTTCAGAAGTAAAAAGGATATCATGCAGTACTAACTGGAGGACTAGAAGTCCCTAAAGCAAGCACAATGAGAAGTTCATTCCCTGTATCATCATCATCATCATCATCTACTACCAAGGGACCCTGGGGAACAGGCTAGACCACAACCCACAGCACTTGGGAGTTTTACCTGAAGTCCCAGTTTCCCTAAGGAGAGACAGAATCGCAGAGGAAACTCTTGTCCTCTTGTGACCACGCCCCCTGAGAGTCAGAGACCCGAACGGACTTAGGAGCGCAGCGCCTCGCTCTCTGGGAAATCCAGTCCAGCCTCGTGGTCCAAACCAGGGGTCGTGGTCCAAACCAGGGGTCGTGGTCCCCGAGGCATTACCGAGCGCGGTTCCAAGGCCCCAACCTGAAGGACGAACTCTCCCGCCGCGAGGAAAATCCAGCACTAAGAAGAGAAGGCGGCGGTGGAGCGGGAGCAGGCGAGCCCGTCCTCTGGGGGGGCGGGGCAGATGGGTCCTCCCGAGTGGCACCGCCCTCCGCCGTTGTGCGCAAGCGCGTCAGAGTCTCCGCCTGGCGCGAACTGGCCCCGCTCCACCCCACTTGTCCGCGTGGTCGACTGGTCTCTCCCGCTGTATAGCAAAGGCGGTGATGGCGTTTGACAGCCCAGCCTGGCGAAAACAAGGGTCTTGGAGAGCAGGGGACGGATGGCGTCTCTGCTCCCACCCGGTCCCTCTCGACGTTAATTTAGGTCCCGCACGCCGAGGCCAGGAAGCAGGGAGAATGATGAGGTGCGCTCGGGGGTCCTCGCAGGAGTACATTCCAGGGACCTCCCTGCCCTACCTGTTTGCCTCTGTGGGGTGGTGTAGAAGCGAGCCAGAGGTGCGGCCGGGCACTGTCCTGTTTGGTTGCCTTAAACTCTGCTGTTCTGTTTTGTGGCTTCCTCAGGCTTCGTGAGCTTGGGTGCTGCCACTGTAAAGGGCTCCATGGAGACCCCTTATAACCACCAAGAGCCCACCCTCCTGTGTGGCTGCTGATGCGGGGCTTCTGTCATAAAGGCCAGAGCCTTACAGGCGCAACCCCGCATGTGCAGTGACAATGGCATCGTAGCTATGAACATGCCAGGAGTCGGACTCTGGCCTTGCCACGTTCTAGCTGTGTGGCTGGGGTTTTCCTCTCCTGGAGAGAGGGGGATGATACGCAGAGGTTGAGGTAGAGTTGGCGTGGTTTGTTTAGCAAAAACAAATGTGGACCGTCCAGTTGCCTTTTCAATTTCACTGAAAAGAACTTATTAGTATAAACGTGTACCAAATTGTTTGAAATTCAAATGTAACAGTTTTCTCTGGCAGCCCTGCTTTAAGGGGTTGTTAGGAAACAATGCATGAACAAGTCTTTAGAAGAGAGCCTAACTTATGTAAATACACTATAAAGTTTGTATATATATTTTAAAAAGGTCCCAGTCTTCTCCACCTCCAATATATGAGTGTCTCTAGTCATCTGGGCGTACTGTCTTAGAGGTCCAGCCTTCAGAGAGCCACGTTCATAAAAGGTCATTGTAGCCCCACCTCACCACTATCCCACTCCAATATACTGACGTCTTACCCCATCAGGAAGCACTGGATTCCCCTCGCCTCCCTGCAGTTAGCACAATCACGTGGGGGGTTTTTCAGGTTCTTAGGAACGTTGGTGCTCTCTCTGGTCTAGTGTGTGGCTTGTCTGGAATGGAGGGGTCGGATGCATTATGATGGAGCCAGCGACACACTTGCTCTGGGAAGTCGTACCTAGGGTTTGTCTCTTCTACGGTTGGCTGCGAAATCCGTGGGTGATGAGGGCACGAGAGCTAGGAGGGAATGGAAAGTGAATGGGGAAGCCTGTGATGCTAAATATTAGCAACGGGCTTCCCCAGCAAGTTCGGTGAGTGGCTTTAGTCCTGCGGGGCTCGTTAAGGCTCCCGCCTGCCATATGTGAGGTGAGACTGTTGAGTCTGAGAAGTCTGAAGGGGAAAAAATGGGAGATAGTGAAGCAGCAGGAGATAGGATTACAAATATAAGTCTGACTTCAGTGTTTCTGTTTCATCTCTTATTCCCCCTCAATATTAGCATGGCCCTCGACAGTAATAGCACCCTGAATTTATATTGCATTTTTATTACAAAACCTTTTAATTTTCATTTTATTTATTTATTTTTGGTATTGCGGAATTGATTCATTTTATTTATTTTCTGTCCTCACTTTGGCAGCACATATACTAAAATTTATTTATTTTGAAACAGGATAGCCTTGAACTAGTAGTAATCCTGCCAGCTGTCATTCTTTCTTCTCTGTGCATCTTTTACTTCAACCTATTATGTTTTTTTTTTTTTTTTGGTACGGAGATTGAACTTGGGTCCATTGGGCTTGCAAGGCAGGCCACCGAACCACTGAGCTAAATCCCTGGCCCCCTAACCTATTATGTTTTAAATGACTGTTTTATCCCTGTCTCATCCACTGTGGTTTCCTTTTTTTTTTTTTTTTACCAGGGATTGATTTCGAGACCTTGCACTTTCAAGGCAGGCAGTAGAACCAACTGAGCTAAATCCCTGGTTCCTTTTCTTTTTAAAATTTTGCCTTTTCTTTAAATTTGGAGGTCTTTTTTTTTTTAGTCATTTATATGTCTAGATATGAATCCTTTGTCTGAGGAACAGCTGGCAAAAATTTTTTCCCCACCCTATGAATTATTTCTTCACTCTGTTGGGGGTTTCTCTTGCTGTGCAAAGCTTTTTAATAAGATGAGATCCCAGTTGTTGATTCTTTGTAATATTTCCTGTGTTCATGGGATTTGTTCTTTGCCTATACCAATGTCTTCAAGAGTTCTACTTATTCTATCTTCAAGCAGTGCAGGGACCGAAATGTTGATTGTGCCCAAGCAGGCTGTAAACAGGGCTGGCTGTGAAGACTCCGCAACTGGTTCGTTTATAGAAGTGAGTGCAGCTGAAGCCTATGTGATGAGGTCAGATTAACACCAGACACTGAGTAGGAGATTGGAGCCTACTGCGGAGATTTCCAGCAACATTTCAGGGGTCCCCAGTACAGCAGACTTAGTGTTTCTGTGTTAATATTTAGATCTGTGATCCACTTTGGTTTTAGTTTGGTGCATGGTCAAACATATAAGTCTAGTTTTAATCTTTGGCATGTGGAAATCCAGTTTTTTTCAGCACCATTTATTACAGAGGCTAGCTTTCTTCTAGTGAAGATGTTGGGCTCCTTTGCCAAATATAAGGTGGCTGGAATTTTTCTTCATCTTCTAATCTAATGTTCCATTGATCCTTAGGTCTGGTTTACTTTTTTAATTTGTTTTTTGTTTTGCTACTACCATGATGTTTGTTTGTTTGTTTTTTCCAGTA